TTGCAGAGAAATGACTTAGCTAGAGATTGAGAAGAGGATGAACTGTCAAATAGTTGGAGAAGCATGCCTTTGCTGGCAGATCAGCAAGTATAAAAGCAGTAAGGTCAAGCAAGTGTTGTGGACTTTGTGAGCTGTCCATATTATTCTTTTCAAGCCATTGGAAGTACCTGCAAACATAGCTATAGATAGATAGTCCTAGATAAATAACTATTGGTACAGATATCAAGTCCCAGATGGGATTTCAAAGCTGGAGTATTATCATAGTTTGGTTGAATGGGAAACTAGTTTCTTGTAGCCAAGCTATAGTGGAGTTAAGGACAGTCTTTGGTTATTTTGAACGTAAGACTTGAAAGTGAGGTTCTGAAGGCTAAATAGAGATGGGGGCAAAGTTCGTAACTGAACACTAAATGCTCAGTTCCGAGGATGACACAGTGTCACCGTTCCAGTCTCTTGCAGTTGTGTGTGTGTGTGTGTGTGTGTTTGGAAAGAAGCAATGGAGATAAAACACGGAAGTCATAGGGAGCGTGCTGTGTGAGAGGTCACCCAGGGGCTCATTCTCTTCCAAGAATCTTTGCTGGGCCTTGAATTCATTTTTACAGACAAACTCAACTCCTCCCTTGTCATATATTCCTGAATCATCCATATAAGGAAGGACCTTTTTTCCTTCCCCAATAAACAGTCCATATTTAGTTATTGGATTCTGTTTCAGCTGGAAACATGAGCATAACTTTTGCTTTTTAGTAATTATTCACTGTGTCATTAAGACTTATCTCAGAATTACAGGGTCGTGGAATCAGAGAGTGATGGTGCAGAACCATTAATTGGATGCATTCTTAGCAAGACTGACTACTTCACATCTTGTTCTTTTGGTGGAATGTCTGTGTTGATATGTGGTGTTTTGACCATGTACAGATATCCCGACTGTCCAAGGGGTGGAATGGTGGCTTGACCCTACCTGGCCCACCCAAGCTGAGACACTGTAGATTCCTGCAACCCCCCAGGGGATTGCTGCTCCCTTGCAGTGGTCCAGCTTTGCCGCTAGGCGGCACTGTTTATCTTTTTGGCTTTTACCCAAAGGCCCTCTGCCTCCTTTGGAGGGGACTTGGGGGAGAAATTCCAAAGATGTGCCATCATGTTCTCAACAGACTCAAACCCTTTACAGCTTCATTTTTAAATAAACAGTAAGTGTCAGAGGTTTTTATGTAAAATAAACTATCACATTCTACATATGATGGCAATACTCTAACTATCTCTAAAGAAACTGCTTGGATTACATTGAGACTTCCAAAGACTTCAGTGTTCTGCTCAGCTCTAGTTTGTGCAGCTTCCTGATTGCATCCCCACCGCCCTGACTCTGAGCTCTTCAGGCCGTAGGGACAAAACCGATTGCTGAGCCTCTTGGGGTTCATCTGTGGATGGCCTTACTCAGGAGAGAGGAGTGATGACTCTCTTCTCTAGCAAAACCTTGGGGGCTCCCTCCTCCCCCTCATCTTGTGCTGCTTGGGTTGCAGACATCCAAACGTTGCCTCTGGCTAACTCAGACTGAAAGGGGGATTTATTGGCAAGATCTCAGGTAGTTTGGAGTTAGCCAGAAGCAGGAGAATCACCCTCAGAACAGGGGCAGAAATTCAGAGGCTGAACTGGTGGACTCAGAGCCAACATGAGGCCCTAGAATAGTCTGGATGGGGTGTCGTTGCTGTTGCAACTACTGCCGGGGACAGGACACCAGGCGCCATCCTTGGTACAACTGCCACTGCTGCAGTTTTTATTTTAATCTACCCCCTGCTTCGTGTCACCTGCTGCCTGTGTAAACAATCAAGTAAGAGCACAGCACAATCTACTACCCCCAAAGTCTCTGTGTGCGGAGCTGGTAACTACCTAGACATTGCCATCACCGCCTACTACTGTCATACAAGTTCCTAAGCTACTGGAATTGTGTCCTACCACCCTGGGCCCATTCTCTTTCCGTCTTGTTGCAATCCAGCCACTAAACTGTAAACACTTGGCCTGGGGAGGGCCCTCCTCCAGGGGCCCCCCTCCCTCCCTCCCTCCCTCGAGGGGGCTATACCTGGCATCTACTCTGGTTGGTGGATGTTTGGGGCCAAGTGATGGTTAGTATTTGGGATTCTGTCCCTGCCCATATGTACTTTAGACCACTTTTTAAATAAGGGTAGGGCTGACATCTAGAAGCTACTAGTATCTGTACTGAGAAATAGAAAAAGTGCAAAGGGTGACCCACATATAATAGATGGTCAAGACTCAACATGTATGAGTTGAGGCATCCTTTTTATTTGCTTTATAAGACATTTCCATTAATTTCTTCTCCAGCCTAAGAATGCTATTGTGCTATGTACTTAAAAAAAAAATTGAACTAATAGTTGATTTATAATGTTGTTAGTTTCAGGTGTGCAGCAGAATGATTCAGTTTTATATGTATATTGTGTGTATTTATAGTTCCCTGCATTATACAGTAGATTCCTATTGTTTATTTCATATATAACAGTATGTATCTGTTAGTCACAAACTAATTTATTTTCCCCTCCCCATTCTCCCCTTTGGTAACCGTAAGTTTGTTTTCTATGTCTGTGAGTCTATTTCTGTTTTGTAAATAAGTTCATTTGTATCATTTTTTAGATGCCACATAAAATTAATATCATATGATATTTGTCAGATTTACTTCGCTCAGTAGGATGGTAAGTCCTTCTGTGTTGCTGCAAATGGCATTATTTCATTCTTTTTATAGCTGAGTAGTATTCCATTTATGTATTTATTTTTAAAATTAAAACAAACTGTACAGAGGGAGTTGATAAATGAATTATGGCATGTTACAGTCATTAAAATGATGAGTATGACTGTAAAAATCCAGAAAACTGTTCATGAAATATTTGAGAACGAACTGGAACACAAAGCTGTCCAGACATTGTTTACAACTATGTTAATACTGTTTATGCAGATAAAGGTTAGAAAGGATTGTAAAAGAAAAATACTCTCTATTAAGATAACTGCATGGTTGAAACAAAAATGTTTCTTCAGTTGTGCTTTAAAAGTTAAATAAAACCTTAGCATAATTATTACAAGTATTTAAAAAGTAAAGCATTTGGATGATATCCTGACATCCTTTTTGTCCCTGGGAAGCAAATGAAGGTATCATAAAACCAAGATTGGAAACCACCCGAGCGTACAGAACACAGCAGGTTGTGTTCTTAACTGAAAGAGTGAATGGTTCCCCAGCTTAGAGAACAGTCTGAGGGGCAGATGAAGGTCACGGGTAGTCCCAGATGTACTTGACGTGACAGAGGCAGAATTACTGCTCATTTGAGCTGAGATGGACTTAGAATGATTTCCCTTTTGCCCCCAGGTTCTATGCAGTCAATTCCAAGGGCAGCGAACATGATAACTGCCCAGAAAGGAAACCAGTGCCCGACTTCAGTGTTAAAAAAGGAAATTAAAGCATGTCCCTTGGTGCACACCCTGGGACCATACCATGACCTTATTACAGAATTCATGAACCGGGAAGTTGATGGCCTCTCCACCATTGTGTCTCACATTTGAAAGTACATAGACAAGCTGAAGATCTTGTTAAAATGCAGGTTCTGATTCAGCTGATGGAGGGTTTGATTTCTAACTTTCTCCATTTTTCAGTAAGTTCCCAGCTGAACGTTGGTGCTGCTGGTCTGCAGGCCACATATTAAATAGCAAGGTTCTTCATCTCTTGAAGACTTGCTTTTCAGATGTCCTTCAGATGTGTTCAGCTAGACATTGTATTTAAAAAATAAGTGCAAGACCTGTACCTTGAAAACTCAAAACACTTCTGAGGGAAATTAAAGATCTGCATAAAGGGAGAGAGTCCATTCTTATGAATTGGAAAATTCAATAAGGTTAAACTGTTAATTTTCCGTAGATTGATATATAGGCTCAGTACGTTCTCATTCAGAATTCCAGCAGGCTTTTTGTAGTTTTGGTTTTTGGTGAGAATTGATAAGATGGCTCTAAAATTTTAATGTAAATGTGAAGGACCTAGAAGAACCAAAATGATTTTGAAGAAGAATGAAACTGGAAGACTCACATTACTGATTTCAAGACTTACTATAAAGCTCTAGTCATCAAGACAATGGATTAGATAAAGACAGATCCATGGACCAGAGTCCGGAGATAAACCCACACGAGTATGGCCAGTTGCTAAATTGCTTTATGCTAAATGAGAGAAGCCAGGTACAGAAGGTTACATATACTATGATACCATTTAGATAAGATTCTAGAAGAGGTACAACTGTAGTGACAGCAGCCCAATGGTTTTGAGGGGACTTGGGATGGGACCTTATTAAATGAAAGGGTTACCATTTACGTATCAGTGAGTAAGTAGACTGCAGTCCCACCTCAAGGCAGTAGAGTGTCTTTCATATGTGCCTGGGACTTCATGTCAGGCTGTCTGGATTCCAGAAGCAACTCTGTCACATGGGCGGCAAGCTGTTCACCTCTGTATGCTTTGGTTTCTTCATCTCTGTAAACTAATACAATGCTAGTACTTACCTTGTAGAGTCTTTGTGAGGATCAAGTGAGTTAATAGAATTAAGGCACCTACAGCATTTCTTTGAGCATAGTAAGCTATATATAAACTTATTATTAGTCCCCAGTAACCAGATTGTGTTGTGACTTTACTTCTCTGTCCTGAAAGTTTGTTCTTTCCTTCACCCTCTCCCTGATCCACAGGGACTTGTGTAACTTGAGGTTTTTAATAGCATGTCAGGGGTGGAATGGATTCTTGGATAGTATCAAAACCAAGTATGGGTGGTGAAACAGAGGTCAAGGAGGTTGTGTTCAAGGTCATGTCAGTACATAGCCAATTAAGAACCTGAAGCCTGGCTAAGTGTCTCCTGGTTCAGCCCCCTGGTTTTTATCAAGGCTTATATGCCGTGCTTGCATTTTTAAAACCGTAGGGATTTATCTCGAACCTGCCATTCATCAGTTCCATCGTGTGTGTGTGTTTTTCTGCAGAGCAGTACAGAGCCCCAGTTGCAGAAGACTTGTTTTGTCACCACCATGAGCTCTGGTAAGTCACTTATTTACTTATTTATTTTCCTGGTGAGTCATTTAAAATCCTGTCTTTCTCTTCTTGACAAATCTACAAAGCTGGACCATTTGCTCAGAATTCCCACTTACTCTTAAGGCCCTAACTCTGTTTCATTTTTTATTTTTCGAGTCCTGGGTAGGTGCCAAAGCTTTGTCATGAATTGTCATCATCACCTTTATTAGTAATGATTTATTGAGTACCTACTGTATATTAAGAACTACACTCTATGCTTTACATGTACTGTGTTCTCATCTTTATAATGGGTTCCCTTTCCCTCTATTTGACGACTTTATTGATATATAACTGGTATACAATAAACTTCATAGAGCTGTTCAACTTTAGCTTCTTCAGCATTACCGGTTGCGGCATAGACTTGGTTTGCTGTGATACTGAATGGTTTGCCTTGGAAACGAACAGAGATCATTCTGTTGTTTTTGAGAATGCACCCAAGAACTGCATTTTGGACTCTTTTGTTGACTATTAGGGTTACTCCATTTCTTCTAAGGGATTCTTACCCACAGTAGTAGATATAATGTTCATCTGAGTTAAATTTGCCCATTTCAGTCCATTTGAGTTCACTGATTCCTAAAATGTTGATGTTCACTTTTGCCATCCCCTGTTTGACCACTTCCAATATACCTTGATTCGTGGACCTAACATTCCAGGTTCCAATGAAATATAGTTCTATACAGCATCAAACTTTATTTCCATCATCAGTACGATCCCATAGAATGGCTCTATGAAGACATACAAGACCTTCTAAAAGTAACACCCAAAAAAGATGTCCTTTTCACTACAGCGGACTGGAATGCAAAAGTAGGAAATCAAGAGATACCTGGAGTAACAGGGAAGTTTGGCCTTGGAGTACAATATGAAGCAGGACAAAGGCTAGCAGAGTTTTGCCAAGAGAACGCACTGATCATAGCAAGCATCCTCTTCCAGCAATGCAAGAGAATACTCTATACATGGACATTGCCAAATGGTCAATACCAAATTCAGATTGATTATATTCTTTGCAGCCAAAGATGGAGAAGCTCTATACAGTCAGCAAAAGCAAGGTTGGGAGCTGACTCTGGCTCAAATCATGAATTCTTTATTGCAAAATTTGGACTGAAATTGAAGAAGGTAGGGAAAACCACTGGACCATTCAGGTATGACCTAAATCATCCCTTACAATTATACAGTGGAAGTGACAAATAGATTCAAGGGATTGGATCTGATAGAGTGCCTGAAGAACTACGGACGAAGGTTTGTGATATTGTATAGGAGGCAGTGATCAAGACCATCCCCAAGAAAAAGAAATGCAAAAAGGCAAAATGGTTGTCTGAGGAGGCCTTACAAATAGCTGAGGAAAAAAAAGGGAAGTTAAAGGCAAAGGAGAAAAGGAAAGATATACCCATTTTAATGCAGAGTTCCAAAGAATAGCAAGGAGAGATGAAAAAGGCTTCCTCAGTGATCAGTGCAAAGAAATAGAGGAAAACAATATAATGGGAAAGACTAGAGATCTCTTCAAGAAAATAAGAGATACCAAGGGAACATTTCATGCAAAGATGGTCTCAATAAAGGACAGAAACATTATGGACCTAACAGAAGCAGAAGATATGAAGAAGAGGTGTCAAGAATACATAGAAGAACTGTACAAAAAAGATCTTCATCACCCAGATAACCTCAATGGTGTGATCACTCACTCAGAGCGTGACATCCTGGAATGCAAAGTCAAATGGGCCTTAGGAAGCATCACTATGAACAAAGCTAGTGGAGGTGATAGAATTCCAGTTGAGCTATTTCAAATCCTGAAAGATGATGCTGTGAAAGTGCTGCACTCAATATGCTGGCAAATCTGGAAAACTCAGCAGTTGCCACAGGACTGGAAAAAGTCAGTTTTCATTCCAATCCCAAAGAAAGGCAGTGCCAGAGAATGTTCAAACTACCACACAATTGCACTCATCTCACACGCTAGCAAAGTAATGCTCAAAATTCTCCAAGCCAGGCTTCAACAGTACATGAACTGTGAACTTCGAGATGTTCAAGTTGGATTTAGAAAAGGCAGAGGAACCAGAGATCAAATTGCCAACATCTGTTGAATCATCCAAAAAGCAAGAGAATTCCAAAAAAACATCTACTTCTGCTATATTAGCTACGCCAACGCCTTTGACTATGTGGATCACAACAAACTGTGAAAAATTCTTCAAGAGATGGGAATACCAGACCACCTGATCTGCCTCCTGAGAAATCTGTATGCATGTCAGGAAGCAACAGTTAGAACTGGACATGAAACAACAGACTGGTTCTAAATCAGGAAAGGAGTATGTCAAGGCTCTATATTGTCACCCTGCTTATTTAACTTACATGCAGAGTACATCATGAGAAATGGCAGGCTGGATGAAGCACAAGCTGGAATCAAGATTGCTGGGAGAAATAGCAATAACCTCAGATATGCAGATGACACCACCCTTATGGCAGAAAGTTAAGAAGAACTGAAGAGCCTCTTGATGAAAATGAAAGAGGAGAGTGAAAAATTTGGCTTAAAACTAAACATTCAGAAAACTAAGATCATGGCATCCAGTCCCATCACTTCATGGGAAACAATGGAAACAGTGACAGACTTTATTTTCTTGTGCCCCAGAGTCACTGCAGATGGTGATTGCAGCCATGAAATTAAAAGACACTTGCTCCTTGGAAGAAAAGCTATGACCAACCTAGATAGCATATTAAAAAGCAGAGACATTACTTTGCCAACAAAGGTCCATCTAGTCAAAGCTTTGGTTTTTCTAGTAGTCATGTATGGATGTGTGAGTTGGACAATAAAGAAAGCTAAGCATTGAAGAATCGATGCTTTTGAACTGTGGTGTTGGAGAAGACTCTTGAGAGTCCTTTGGACTGCAAGGAGATCCAACAAGTCAATCCTAGAGGAAATCAGGCCTGAATATTCATTGGAAGGACTGATGCTGAAGCTAAACTCCAATACTTTGGCCACCTGATGCGAAGAACTGATTCCTTAGAAAAGACCTGGATACTGGGAAAGAGTGAAGGCAGGAGGAGAAGGGGATGACAGAGGATGAAATGGTTGAATGGTATCACCGAGTCAATAGACTTGAATTTGAGCAAATTCTGGAAGCTGGTGATGGACAGGGAAACCTGACGTGCTGCAGTCCATGGGGTCACAAAGAGTTGGACACAACTGAGTGACTAAACTGAACTGACAGTAAACTTTTGGGTATTTTAAGTGTGTGTGTTCAGTCACTCAGTTGTGCCCAACTCTTTGTGACCCCATGGACTGCAGCCCACCAGGCTCCTATTTGATCAATGCTGACATGTGTATACACCTTGATGGCATTTCTTAATCTGAGTGACTGTAGCAAAAGTAAACATATTGACCATAATTGCCCCAAGGAATGAGCTAATCCATCACTTCCTTTATCAGGGCAAAACCACCCTTTTGCTATGTTTTTGGTAGTAAAAATCAAAACCTACACATCTGAGCAGTTAAAGTTGGGGTGGAACACCTGGGCTAGGGAAGACAGACGGGAATGGGTAGGTCCCTGCTTGTGGTGCAGCCAAGAGCTGTCAGCTTTCCAGCCAGGATTTGAGGCAGAGAAGTTTCCATCTGGAGATCGAGGCCCACCTTGGCTACTGAGTGTTCCCTGGCACCTCCCAAGGCCTGCAGGCGGGGTGGGCCACAGGATGACCTAGTGGATAGCTCGCTTAGGCGCCTCCAAGCCAGCAGTGTCTCCAGAGTGTTATCAGAGACCTCTGGAGGTGAAAACCAATCCTTGGGTGTATTCACATTCACACGCCCTTTCAGCTGAATCCCAACCCTTGCCGGACAGTGTGGGCTTCTTGGGAGGAGAAGGGCCCCGGGTGGGTCAGCTCAGGGCCACAAGTACCACCCTGCAGGCTTTGGCCGGTGGTGAGCCCCTCCGTAAGATGGACATAGGGAAAGCATTGCCTACTGGGGGTTTGTGAGGATTGAGTGAGGTAACGCTTCTGAAGTGCCGAGCTCTGTGCCCAAGGCCTGACCAACGTCCTGTCCGTGGGTCATCAGCCCAGCTTCCAGCCTTGCAAGGAGCAGGACTAGGCTGGTCCTTGACTCCGTGATGCTTCTGCTTCATGAGAAGACTGCGTCCCTTCCTTTCCCCTCCAGAGGGACTCGGGCATTGCCAGTAGCCCCTGCTCGGTAACTCAGTTTTTCTTCTCGTTGGGCTTTTTGTTCTTGCCGTCATTTAAAAGAGGCCAGCACTTCCCCACAACACCCAGAGTTTCTTGTCCTTCTAATATCAGGATTAGCCTAAACTGGCATCACCATTCCTGGCAGAAATAAAGGCGGAAGAGGCGGGCAGGGAGGGGCCGTGGAAGATGAGGAGATACCCTTGGGACTTCTCCCTGGGTTTTCCCTTAGGCGTGGTGCTGAAAGGAGGCATTTCCCAGAAAGAGTCCAAAAAATCTGGACCCTTTGACATGATAACTCCCCTCTTGGGAATGTCTTTATTAATTTGAAGGAAACAAAAACATCACCCATGTGAAGGTGGGGAATGAGCAGGTTCATTCTGTGTGTTTACTTGATGGGAGATTATACCACTCATAAAAATGATCATCAGGAAGAAAGCAGCTATGTAGAAAACACTTGTTCTTTTTTTAAAAAACAAAAAAAAACAAAAAAAAAACCACTTGTTCTTAACCTTTGATGGAAAGAGCAACATGAAGACAATACATTGTTTTTATTCCTAGTTTGAGCTGAGCTGCCAGTTCTCAAGGCAGGGCTTTACCTGCTTGTCTCATTTTGTTCTCCTGCAGATCCACAGAAGTAGGCATGGCTTACCACTCCCATTCTAGAGATGAGGAAACTGAGGCCCTGTGTGGCAGTGATTTGTCTGGGGTCATCTGGCTAGTGGCTGCTGAGGCAACCAACCCCAGGTGGCTGGTCACCAGCACACTGCTGCAGAAGTGAGAGTCTGTGGTGATGGAATTGTTTTTCCAAATTTCTTCAAGTTTAGTTGGTTGAGTTTAAGGGAAAACAAAACAGGAAAGGAAGAACATGGGTCTGGGCCTTGCGGAAGCTCTGAGGCTGCTGGCTTGGGGATGCTTGTCCCATTTTGTTCTTTGTCCCACGCCCTGGGGCTACTTCAGCCAGATAGGGAGGCTCAAAGCCAGGCCTGCAGTCCTAAGAAGGAGACCATCAGGAGAAATGAGGGCAGGTGCATAGGGACGGGATTGTTGTTCAGTTACTTAGTCATTTCCGACTCTTTGTGACCCCATGGACTGCAGCATGCCAGACTTCCCTGTCCTTCACCTTCTCCCGGAGCTTGCTCAAATTCATGTCCATTGAGTCGATGATGCCATCCAACCATCTCATCCCCTCTCCCCCTTCTCTTGCCCTCAATCTGTCCCAGCATCAGGGTCTTTCCCAATCATTGGCTTTTAGCATCAGATGGCCAAAGTGTTGGAGCTTTAGCATCAGTCCTTCCAATGAATATGCAGGGTTGATTTCCTTGAGGATTGACGTGTTTGATCTCCTTGCAGTCCAAGGGACTCTCAGGAGTCTTCTCCAGCAATTTGAAAGCATCAGTTCTTTGGCATTCAACCTTCTTTATGATCCAACTCTCACATCTGTACATGACTGGAAAAACCATAGCTTTGACTATATGGACTTTTGTCGGCGGAGTGATGTCTCTGCTTTTTAACACGCGATCTAGGTTTGTCATAGCTTTTCTTCCAAGGAGCAAGTCATCTTTTAGTTTCATGGTTTCAGTCACTGTCTGCAGTGATTTTTGGAGCCCAAGAAAATATAGTCAGAGAGAAAAGATGGGGAGGTAAAACGGATGATATTTCTTTGACTTATATTTCTGGCTTTCTGCCAACAACCTCTTTCCATCCATCCCAGAAATGTAGGTGCAAAGGGAACTTTGTCTGGAGAACTAACCTTCTATAGATGGACTGGGGGCAATGAACAGGACGGGCCTGTGGAGCCAGTATCAGGTGGTCCTGGCCACTATGGTTGGAGGGGGTGGGGGAGGGCAGCAGCCTTGCCTGCCTCTGGATCCAGGAGTACCCGGGCTGACCTGTTGGTGTAGTTGATGTCACGGAGGTTGATTATTAAGAGCCCAGGTAGGATGACTGGGTCTTAGCCAAAGGCACTACTGGGGTTTGGGGCATTTGGGGAAATAGAATATATATAAACCATTATTAGAGTATATCTGATTTGTATTTAGAGAGTATTCTATATATAAAAGCCATTTTTTATTTTAAAAATAAATTTTCATCTCAGCTGGGGACAAAGAATATAAGTCATTGGATGGATCAGAACAGACTTCAAATCCCCTCTTAGTGATCTTCGAGCCTGGCATCCTTTCTGAGCTTTAGATTTCTTATCAATAAAATGAGAGTTCTTAACTCCTAGCTCTAGGGCTTGGATATTAAGGATAAAAATCAGATGCTAATTATGGAATGAATGCTTAGCAAGGACCCTTAGATCAGGCAAATAGAGGCTTTATAAAACCATGGCTATTATATTTGTGGCTTGGTTGGTTCTTGGCTACTTCCCTGGTGGCTCAGATGGTTAAGAATCTGCCTGCAATGTGGGAGACCCAGGTTCTATCCCTGGGTCAGGAAGATTCCCTGGAGAAGGGAATGGCAACCCATTCCAGTATTCTTGCCTTGAGAGTTCCATGGACAGAAGAACCTGGTGAGCTACAGCCCATGGGGCTGCAAAGAGTCGGACATGACTGAGCGAATAACACTTTTGGCTCTCGGCTGCAGCGGAGTCACCCCAACGTTGCTGATCACGGGTCCTGCCCCCTTGTCTTCTCCAGGCTTCCACCATCAGTTCTGGGATGGGGAACTGGGTGGCACTCAGGCTGCCAGTGGGCAATGAGGGTCTCAGTGTGTTCAGCTGAGCGGAACTTTTGAAAGGTCCCCGCCAAGAACACAGGAGGTACCATTCAAGGTAAACCTCGAGGTATAGAGGACTTCCCCAAGGTAGAAGAGGGGGCGCAGGCCTTCTTGGCTGAGGGCCTCTCAAGATCCAAGGCTTGAAGATCAGAAAGCATCTGATTTGCTGAAGAGGTTGTGAGGAGACTGTCATGGCGGGCAGGCGCAGGAGGGGAACTGCTGCTGGAAGAGGGCTAGCACCAGTGGTTGAAGGGCTTAGAGTCTGGGGTGGGTACCCAGGCTTTGTCCCTGGGTAGCTGCTGGCCACTGGGTCTTGCTTGTCAGCTTGCTTTTAATCATCATGAAGGTCAGTTTGTTAATTTGAATATAACCACTTATGCCATCTCACTTACTTAAAAAGTTATATTCCAAACAATCATTTGTACATTTGGAGGAACTTGATTCCAAGTTCAATTTTGTTTTCCTCGTAGAAATGATAATATAAATGATTGACTTCCCAGGGGACTTGCCTGGTGGTCCAGTGGCTAAGACTCCAAGCTCCCAACGCAGGGGGACTGGATTCCATCCCTGGTCGGGAAACTTGATCCCACGTGCCACAACTGAGAGTTCGAATGTCGCAACTGAACATGCTTAGTTGTGTGCCACCACGAAGACCCAGTGCAGCCCGATAAATAAATTAAAAAAAAAAAAGATTGACTTCCCAACTCTAGACTCCGGTAGTATTTTTATTTTCAAATTAGAAGTGAAATGCAGTACATTTAAAGTGGAGGGTCTTAGAAATTCACATTGCTTTGTCCCATCTTGTTTTGTCCTGCACCCCGGGGGTTTTCAGCCCTATGGGGTGTAGATGGTGGAGATGCAGACTGAGGGCTAGGGTGGAGAGAGGGGCAGGATGGAGCCAGGAAGAGCAGTCAGGGAGCCAGGTCATCTCCACAACCAGAACACAAGAGCTGTGGCTGGGGACCGTGGTCTGGGGGCTGGGCCAGCGTGGCTTCCGTGGCTGTAGGTGTGGGGTGGGGTGGAGGGAAGTGTCACAGAGCCTGAGGTTCTATCCTGGCTGTCTGACAGCTCTCAGGATTCACAGGGATGCTTTTGAGCAGCCTTGGAATGGTAGATAAGCCTTTGTCAGGCAGGAGATGCTGCTTTGAGGGAATTAAGATTTTCTTTTTTTAAATGTCAGAATTGAAGCCAAGCCAGGAGACCAGAGAATATCACTCACAACACACTTCCCATCCAAACAGCTTTTGCGTCCTCCCTGGTTCAAGCCACAAAGCATTCTCAGAACTCTCCCATGATGCTCTGGGGCCCCTTTTCAGGCCTGAGAGAGTCCCCGGGACCCAGAACTTTGCACTGGCGGGACTCAGAAAGGGTGGGAGATGTGATCACAAGCCTCATGCTCTTATTCTTTCTTTATTTCAGAATGTGATGTGGGTGCTTCCAAAGCCGTGGTGAATGGGTTGGCACCGGGCAGCAATGGGCAAGATAAAGGTAAGGCTCTCGAAGGGAAGCTGGAATTTTTAGAAAGAGCAGGGCCCGGGACCACCTGCCTGGTGGGAACAGTCACTGGTCTAATTAGGCTGTGACCTGGAGACCTGTTCCCAGGCTTTCTGAGACTTGAGTCTGAGGCTGCCTTTTCCCACCGTGAGGTGACGTGTTAAACTGTTCCCAGCTCACAGGATGCTGCGAACCACCCACCAAATCACAGAGACCTCATGTATATGGCATATATCAGCCCGCAGTCTCTCTTACCTGGCATCTCATCTTCACCGGTGATAAATAGTGACATATTCAGTGCATCCTGACCCTGAGGCTAGAGCCTAAATAGCTGAAATAAATCATTTTTGTGACATTTGTTTCATGGGCATCCTCCCAGGTTTTGAATTTTTAAAATTTTAGGACAAAAGATGCAAGTGTGAAAGGAATGATGGATAGGATGACCTTTGAGTTCCCGTCTGTCATCCCATCTCTCATCCTGAACAGCCAAGCAGCAGGATTCCCAAGTCACTCTGCAGTGAGAGGAGGCAGGGGTTCAAGTCCTGGCCTGCCGCTCATAAACAGACTCCTCTTGGGAGGCCCATTGTCTTTATGGCTGTGAGTTTCCTTATCTAGAAAATGAGGGAATTTGATGATCTGCAGTATTTTTTCCTGCTTGAAACACAGGTTCCAGTGACTCTATCAGTGTTCATTTCATTATGTCTTATGGTATCGGAGAGGGAGGGCAGAAGTCCTGTCATCGGGCTTTTGAGTCACAATGCACCCTCTCTCAGAGTACGTTTACAGTTTGACATGTTTGGACTTTGTAATTACTGTCTGGGTCAGCCACGTATTCCCTTTGAGAGAGGGCAAAGTGGAAAGTCAGAAAGAGCAGCCAAGAGTGAAGGCGTAGAGAATAGGAGGGGTGGGGCGCCAGGGCCCGTTGGTTAGGGTGCCCCTGTGCAGGAGGGGTCCTGCTGTCCTGCCCTTTGCCTCCCTGCCTGGCTGCCCTTCTCCTTACCTGGTGTGGGGCTATGTTCCCACCTCAGCCAAGTTGCTAAGGGGATGTTGAAGGGTGGTGCCCGCAGGGGAGTATTTAAGCATCTTCTGAGGAACGTGGGGGAGATGTGGGTGTCTGGTGCTCACCGTCAAGCCCAGCCCTGTGAATCCATTGGGGGAAAGGAGACTTCGGGGGTGTACGGCAGGGTGGCAAGTGGAGGTGCGCTCTGCTTTCCTCTCTCCTTGATAAGATGCACCTTTGGTTGGAAAATCAAGGCAGATGCACCCTGAAGCCATCACGGTGACCTGGGGTGGTCACTGTCGGGGTCTGGTCTCGCTGTCTTCATTCAGCACTGGTTGACTCCGAGCAACAGTCTTGCTTCTTCCTCTGAAAATGGTAACAAAAACCTCCCACCCAGCCTCCCAGGTGGCCTAGGGAGCAGTTGGTAGGATTACTGTGAACGCACATTTGGATCTGAACCCATACAGGATTGTTGTCATCCCTTCAGTTCTTGGCGGCCAGATGACTGCCATGCACCTCGTGAAATGGCAGCCCGGTGGACTGGAAGGTGAACTGCCCTTGCGGGGTACCTCCTTCCTCCCGTCCCCTTGGCAAGCCCGTCAGCATGATATTGATGCAGCTGTGACAGTCTTGGTTCCCAAACAGCCCAACCTGCCCCCCCCCCCCCGCCGCCACCCCAGTTATGAAGTGGATCTGGGGCCCTGAGACCTCCGGGTGTTGCCCATTGGTGTGATGTTGGTCCATAGCCTGTGAGCGCACATCTCTCTTTATTTGCTGCCATTGGGACAGAAGGAGGTCTCACAAGAAGGCAGGTTTGGGAAGATGCCCACCCTAGTGATTCCAGAACCTGGGGAGGCAGGGGGCCCAGGGAGGTCTGAGCACCTGGATTTGAGGTCTGCAGCCTCCGCCCGTGTACCGGGCAGTACCCCGGCTCAGGGAGCTCAGCTGCTGTCAGCGTCCTGGGCCAGGTGCGTGGGCACTGCCCAGAGTCTTAAGTGTGCGTTCGGGCACTTGGGCAAACTCTTGCCCAGGAAGGGGGGTGGGTTTAAGTAGACCATCTGCTGCCCAACAGATGGCCATTCTGATTTGCCTGGGGCCAGAGGGCCAGGGTTGTCAGAGCAGGCTCAAGACCCCAGGAGTTAAGATCCTGAAGTAGCAGCTCTGAGGGCCGAAAGGACCAGGCGACTCTCAGACTTGTCCTTCTTGCACTCCTCTGGGGCCCATGAGCTGTAACTCTCCTCCGAGGAGCCTTCTCCCAGGGGCCCTGGGGACCCCGCTTGCTCTCCCCTTCCTGTTTGCCAGGCCATCTGCGTCTCTCTAAGTCCCCTTGCCCAGAGCCTTGGCAGGTTCCTGGTGTGCCCAGAGGCACAGGCACAGACCAGCTGCATTTGAGGTGCGGTGGCGGGAGGGTGCTGCCCACCTGGGCGCAGGACTCTGAAGAGCGAAAGCGGGTTATTTTAAGTTCCTGCGTCCACTGCTCTTCCCATTGTTCTCTGCGGGCGACTTCCTCCTATTGTCCCTGCCGGGTTCCTCCACTGCCTGAGGGTTTCCCAAATGTTTTTTTTCTGGATGCACCATTTACCCTTTTGTGTTTTCAGCAACTGCCGACCCTTTACGTGCACGCTCTATTTCTGCTGTTAAAATAATCCCTGTGAAGACAGTGAAAAACTCTGCAGGCCTAGTACTCCCTCCAGGTATCTCTCCTTGGGTTGGTTTCTTTCTTTTTTTTTTTCATTGTTAGCAGACCATGCATGATCTTCTTTCCTTCTAACAAAGACTTGGAGGCTTCATTCTCGCATGTTTAGAAGCCATTCCCTCTCACTTCTCTGGCTGGTTTCCTTCCTTCTGTGTGTGTGTGTGTGTGTGTTTCTGTGAGCAGTGGGCAAATGTGGAAAGGGGCTGACAGGTGCTTTGCCCTTCCCCACTTAGGGAGAAGGTCAGTCCAGAGGCTGAACGTTGACTCCAGCTGGTACAGGTTTGAGCCCCTTAGGCGACTTAGGTTCTTCCTAGAGGTGCCAGCTCCCCAGAGTTTATTTAAAACTCCACTGTCCCCAGAAATCAATGTGGCTGCCCAGGGCATTTCTGAATTGGGCTGGATTTGAAGCAGCTGCCTGATCAGGCTGTGTCTCTGGGATGCTGGTGGGGCCTTTTCCCTGAGCACTCCCTCCCCTGCCCCCAGCCCTGCCTGCATTCGCTCCCTGCCTCTCCTCTCCATGGGGCTGGTACACTTCGCAGCTGGTACAGTTCAGATGTCAGGTCATAGCTCGTAGCTTCCTCCTGCACAGAATGGAACAAGTGAGGCGCAGGTGGCTCTGTATCCCAGCGGCGGTGCTTTCAGGAGTTGGACCCACCTGGCTGTGCACACAGGACCCTGTGGATGGGCTGGCTTTGTCACTGTGCCCCTCACCCTTTTGAAAAGCCCATGAATCACTTTTCCCAGTATTTTCCTGACATCGGTCACTTATCCTGGTAGGATTGGACAAGTCAGATGCTCTTCAAGGCCGCTGCCTGCTCTGCTGGATATGTGTTTTGTGTAAGAGGTGCTGACGGAGCTGATCAATCGGTTTTGTAACTAATGATCGTTCTGTCTGTGCTGTCGGAAAGGGGGCTGCTGAGTGGGAAGGAGGAGCCAAGAAACTTGGTATTTCTCAGCCATGGCACAGGAGTGGGGAGGAGCTGGACATCTGAGCCCACATCCTGCCTGCTGCCCACCTTTAACTTGCCCCACAATCCCACTCATGACAGTTTTAGGCCTGAGATTCAGGCTGTGCCATGAACAACTTGCAGAACTGGAATTCAGTTCCACTCAGCCTCATGGAGAGAAACATTCTGCACATATGCCTCCCAGGACTGTGTGGTCTGTGTGGCTTTCTTGCTTCCTCCTTACTGATTTTCCTGGAGGGTGAACAGCCTGTTTTGAAGCCTATTTTGAAATCTTCAGTGCAGTTCTGAAAGATGACCTGGGTCTGCTGTGAGGCCACTGTGAACTGCAGGAGGGGTCAGGGCCCAGGGAAGGCTCTGCTGGAAGTGCCGCAAACACTGTTCCTCGAAGGTTTTAACGTTTCTAGTCGTTTTCTTTGGTGCGAATTTTCTTCATTAAGTTTGGAATGTGAGGTTCCAGGCCTCGTGATCTTTCTCCTCAGGCAGCACATCCTGTTTCGCCCCTGCAGGGGGCTTGGCTTGCTGGCACAAAGAGATTGTCTTGCTTTTTCCGCTGAGGGACAGCTCTGAGGAATGATTGTCTGTTGAACCTTCACCGAATGCCCTGTGCTGTTAACTTGCTCTTTTATAAGAAGGATGGTGTGGGAACTTGAGATATCTTTTATAAATTCTTTCTTGACCTGTGCCTTACTAATTGGTCAGAAGTCTGCTCACCAAACTAAACTTCATTTAATAAAAGAAATCAACCTGCTTTGGTTTGGAAATATTCCCAGCTGACATTGTAACACATCCATTGACTCAGAACTCACTGTGCCTCCATTCCCTCCTAACCTCATGACAGGTGGGAAACCCCTGAAAATATGATTTGTCCCTCTCCACCATCCACAGATTAATTTTCATTGACTGCAAGATTCTACCTGTCTGTAACCAGGTTCATCTCATTCCCCAGGTGGACCAAATTGCTGGCTGATTATGGTTTTACTTCTTCAGGTGCTCTGGATTCAGTCTCCCCTTTTGGATCTTTCCTTTTCAGACATGGATCCTACAAGAATCTGCACCGGGAAGGGAGCGGTGACTCTCCGGGCCTCGTCCTCCTACAGGGAGATCCCAAGCAGTAGCCCTGTGAGCCCCCAGGAGACCCCGAAGCAGGAGAGGAAAACAGGTGCGCTGCTTTGGAGACCCAGGGCTGGGGGTGGGGGGCTGTGGAATCCATCGGCTGCCTCCCAATTCTCCAGGGGCCCCTGAACAGTCTGCTCCTGTCCCTGCTGTGGTGGGTGATGATCACTGCCCTAATGAACAGGTACTCACTGGCTTCAGGCAAAGGCATGGCAGCGACCACTGTATTCTAGCTTTTGATGGAACCTGTGGGCAGTCTGCAGCTCTGCAAGCTCTGCAGACAGTGTTCAGGAGGACAGAGAAGGTTTAGGGGTCTCGGGAGGGAATGCTGAGATAGCCTCCAGGTTAGGCTTCTCTGAGCCTATCCCCACTTCTGGGAGCTCAGTGGTGACCATCCAGGTGGGGCTGGGGCAGAATCCCAGGGAGACTGAGAAGTGCAGGTGGCTGTCTGGCCTCATCAGCTCCCAAGAAGACAGGGAGGTGCCCTGGGGCAGCAGGTCTGCAGAGCATGTCTAAGGCCAGTGCAGACTAGGAACCGAGGGAGGAGACAAAGGAAGCCCCCCTCCCCGTCCCATCCCATCACTCAGGAAACCCGGATGCCTAGAGCTCCACATTGTGGTGGAGACCTGGGACTTTGGATTGATTATTATTTTTAAGAAACAGTAGACACAAGTGCGTGCATGCCAAGTCACTTCAGTCGAGTCTGGCTCTTTGCAACCCCATGGACTGTAGCCCACCAGGCTCCTGTGTCCATGGGATTCTCCAGACAAGAATACTGGAGTGGGTTGCCGTGCCCTCCTCCAGGAGCTCTTCCCAACCCAGGGATCAAACCCAGGTCTCCTGCATTGCAGGCAGATTCTTTACCATCTGAGCCACTGCCCAGACCTGGGATTTTGGAACCTCATAGATGGGATTCATGTCCTGCCTCCACCACCTGTTGGCTATTCAGCCATGGATGAGATAGATGGTCTCTCTTAACTTTGGTGAACCCATCTGAAAAATGGGGTTGAGAACTATACCTGCTTCCCAGCATCGTTGTGAGGATGAAGTGTGTAAAGCATTTCGTGCCACATCTGGTGGTGTGAGATGAGCTGGCAGACCTTAACCTGCTCTTGAAAGTGAAAGTGACAGTGCTCAGTCATGTCCGACTCTTTGCGACCCCATGGACTGTAGCCTACCAGGCTCCTCTGTCCATGGGATTCTCCAGGCAAGAATACTGGAGTGGGTTGCCATTTCCTTCTCCAGGGGATCTTCCCGACTCAGGGATCGAACCCGGGTCTCCTGCACTGCAGGCAGACGCTTTAACCTCTGAGCCACTGGGGAAGACTTAACCGGTCTATAACCTGTTCTTAGCAGGTTATAATTATTTGGGCCTCTCTGGGGAGCCCTTTCTGCAGCCCAAGTGTTTCTGGGAGCTGGGAAAGGCTGACTTTTGAGGTTCCCCAGGCACTGTTTCCTTAGGCTGGGGCGGCCCCTTTCCACTGAAGGGCAGTGTTTCTCACACTTCAGCTGATTGTGTCAGAATCACCTTGAGTAGAGACGCAAGTTCCCAGACCCTAGCTCAGAGCGTTAGGCTTTATGATTCCCACCTGTAGGCCTGAGGTGGGGTCTGAGATTTTGCCTTCAGGTCATGCTGATGCTGCCCGTCCCAGGACCACATCTGAGAACTCTCACTATAGGGGATGGGTATTTTCTCCTGTCTTGAAAGAAGGAAATGCAGAGAGAAAATGAATTGGGGTGATGACCACTTCCTTGGGGCCAGAGTTGTGCAGACTCTCTTGGTACGGTGGGGAATGATGTGCTGTGATAGATGGAATTATATAGGATGGAGATGATCAGTGCCCAGCATCCTGGAAACCTGACTTTCTGTCCATCGCAGCCAGTGGAACAGGTACCAAAGCAGATGTCCAAGGACAAGTCCAGGCTGGAGTTTGAGTACAAGCCCTATTCTGGTGTGTTGGTCCCTATGGAAGCTGCCTTATCCCTAGGCTCAGGGGAAGGTGTAAATGGTCTCCAGAACTGTAGGCTGACAGTAGCTTCTTGAGTCTGTATTCCTGAACCTAACTTTTGCCCCACTACAGCTTGCCATTCTGCTCTCAGGAAAGGTGGTGACGTTGGGAAGATCCAGCTCCCAAGCTGGAGGACCTCTGGGGGAGAGAGAACCCTAAGGGATAATTTAAAGAGAAAGAACATACCTGCAGCTCTATGTTCTGATAAAATAACCAATTAACTGCCTGGCCCTTCCTCTTGTGGTGAATGGGAAGAGAAGGGGCCTTGAGCTCCCCCTGGTGGTCGCAATATGGCACAACAGAGCCCCAATGTTACTCTGCCTTGCCATCTGTAGGCTCGCACTCCAGTGCTGTGCGGTGGTTTGGGCACTTTAGGAAACTGTCTCTAGTCCCCAGATAATTCTATATCTTTCAGATTTGTAACAGATAATTTGAATTTTAAAGGATCTTGTTTTAAAATGGAAATACCTTGGAAGGATTAGGGGATGGCTACCCATCATTCACATGAAAGTGAGGATGTTAGTCACTCAGTCATGTCTGACTCTGCGACCCCATGAAATTCTTCATGCAAGAATACTAGAATGGGTAGCCATTCCCTTTTCCAGGGTATCTTCCCAACCCAGGGATCAAATTCAGTTCTCCTGCATTGCAGGCAGATTCTTTACTATCTGAGCCACCAGGTCTCCCACATTGCAGGAGGATTGTTTACAGCTGAGCCGTCAGGGAAGCCCAAGAGTCCTGGAGTGGGTAGCCTATCCCTTCTCCAGCAGATCTTCCTGACCCAGAAATCGAACCGGGGTCTCCTGCATTGCAGGCCTATTCTTTACCAACTGAGCTGTCAGGAAAGCCATATCTTACACTAAATTTAATCTTTGTAGATTATCTTCTGCCAGATAACAGAGATCGTTAAAACCAAATCAACAAACATTCATTCTGCAGCATATAGGAGCTAGACATCACTGTGGTTTACCAGGAATTGTGATGAGAAGGGGAGAAAAGGGAAAAAATTTTAGGTGCATTATGGAAGCACAAAAAGCAGTTTATTCCAGGAGAATCAGGTGTGGGCCCCTACTTCACTGTTTTCTGACCATGCATAATGTCACACTTTTGAAACATGAATGAAGGGTGAAGGGCTTGGGTCCAATGGTTTCTAAGCCTTTCTAGTTCCAAAATACTTTGTAAATTTAGAAAGTTTGGAAATTAAACTGATACAAACAGAGTCTTCTTCACTGGAGACAAATTCAGGGTTGTTATACAAGGCCAGTTTGGGTGGAAAGGAAAAAGCTGGGGTTGAGTGGGAGGCTGGGGAAATACACTGATTAGGTGTCCAACAGGCTGGAATGAGTTAGCACTGGAAGTGAGTTTTAAAAGAGGATGCAGCTCCAGTGGGACTTTAAGGACTGGAGGGACATTCTTGTTCTCTTATCCTTTGGGTCCTTGGTCATCATCCTGCTATCTCTTGACTCTGCTGGGTGTGTGTGTGTGGCTCTTCAGCCCTACTCACCCCTGCCTACTCCCTTCACCTGAGCCTCTGGATGACAACTTGCTGGCCACACCAAGCCATTGGGCCTTGACTCAGCTCATGAAAACAGTTCTCAGCAGTACTTGCAGGCAGCCATGCCAGCCTGGACTGGGAGCCCAAGCATGAGGCAGGATGCCTTGCCTGGCTCTTGCTAAGGATCAGGTGTGCTTCCTGATCCTGGTGTCTTCACAGCACGTGTCAGATACCAGCTGCTCCGCCTGCATCACCAGGGCCAGCATCTGTGCCCCAGCCTCTCGGTCTGTTCCTCTCTGCCTTGCTCCTTGGCTTTACCACCTTCTTCCATCCCTGCCAGTCTCCAAGTTGTTGATCACTTGCCTGGATTAGAAGCTTTGTTCTCACATTACTGCCCCATACCTGTGGCCTGATTTCCTTCTCTATATGGCCCCTTGACACCCACATTTCAGGGATGTCCCCTATTCCCTGTCCTTGCTCCAGCTCCCTCGCCCTGTGAGAGGTGGTCTGCTTCTCAAATCACACAGTCCTCTCCCAAGGCTCAGCTCTGCCACTGACTAATTAACCTTGGGGAGCTTCAGTTTACCATCTGTAAAGTGGAGATGTTCTTCACAGGGTTGTTGGGATTCCGCGACTCGTCCGTATCAGGACGTAGCCCAGAGCCAGGCATGCACAAGGTGCTCTTGGATGGGAGCCAGTCTAGTTACTGAAAATCAGGAGGCCACTGCAGAAAGACCTACAGTAATTCCTGTGAGAGACTCTGAGGGTCTAGACCCAGTGTGGTGATGGAGGGCGAGCGGGGGGAGGAAGAGGAGGGGCCAAGCAAGGCGTGTGTTTGGAAGAGTGGAGTGGCAGGGTTGGCGCAGTGTCTCAGGAGTGTGGAGAGGTAGGACTCCGTGCTGAGCAGGAGGCGCCTTTCCTGGTTGACTAGAATCAACGTGGCACTCATGGAGATGCTGGATATACGAGGGGAATCAGAAGGAATGTTGAATTCCGTTCCTTGATGTACTGAGTTTCTTGGCAAGAGAAGGACTTCTAGGAGGAAGTTTCTAATAGGCATTTGGAAATTTGGAATCCAGGTTGCGGACTTGGGAGCCATTGGCATCCACGTGAACACTGGGAGGGTGGAGATGCTCTCTCTCTTAAACTGGAGTTGCCCAGTTTAAGCTCAGCCTCCATGTATGAGGCCCTCAGTTTCTGTTCCTGGTGCTTCCACCAAAAAAAAACAAACAAACCCAAAAACCAAACAAACAAAAAACTCAGCCTCCAGACTCCCGCCTTCCATGGTAGCTTGACTGGATCCTTGACCACCCTCCTAGTCTTTGAATGTAGACCTTGGTTTTGGATTGGAACCATCTGGAAAGAACTATAGTAATCTTAATGCTGATTCCCTGCCTCCGAGAGAAACTGCTTCTTCCTGCTTGCTGGTGTGATATCCTGGCTGGGTTTGGGTAATGGCCCTGTTGGTTCAGATGTGGCTCCACCTGTGTCCCCAGGTCAGGTTGGTTTTACTCAAGAGGAGATGGGGAGCCTGATACCGGT